CGACCCCACCCCAGCACGATCACACCCCAGCACGACCCCACCCCAGCAAGACCACACCCCAGCACGACCGCACCCCAGCACGACCTTACCACAGCACGACCACACGCCCCAGCACGACCACGCCCCAGCACGACCACGCCCCAGCACGACCACGCCCCAGCACGACCACGCCCCAGCACGACCACCCCCCAGCACGACCACCCCCCCAGCACGACCAGCACGACCACCCCCCAGCACGACCACACCCCAGCACGACCACTCCCCAGCACGACCACACCGCCTTGGTTGAGTGGTTGCCTGTCGTCGTGGAATGTTTCGTGGGGTGTCTCGTGGAATGTTTCGCGGGGTGTCTCGTGAAATGTTTCGTGAGGTGTCTCGTGGAATGTTTCGTGAGGTGTCTCGTGGGCTGTTTCGTGAGGTGTCTCGTGGGATGTTTCGTGAGGTGTTGCCCAGTTGGGTATCATGAAAACGTGTCCATGCTCCACATGTCTATATCCCTTTCCGGGTTCGTGGGTCCATCATGTTTGCAAACCAAGTTGCGGGTGGGTGGGTGGGATGTTTGCAAGAGCATGGAATGTGTGAGCTCTTTTGCAACAGCCAATTCACCACACACATGTTGCACCACATGTTGGAACATCGCATTTTTTTGCACAACATGTATTTTCCTTTCTTAAATAAGGGTATTCTGATTCATCCTCCCCGACTTGACCTGTAGCGCGCTTTTGGTGCAACTCACGCATGGTTCTGTCCCATCGTCTCTCCTAAATATGAATTCCCGCCATCCCAGGCAGCCCCTTAACGCCCTTACAGCATCTACATATCATTTATTGTGCGCTCGCATTGGTCATTGACGGGGCGTCAGTTTTCAATAATTCTTGGCCAACCAAACAGACGACGTGCGCACGCGCGCGCCGCTGCGCGCGCATGCCCGAATCAATAAACAGCGTGCGGTTGTGTAGAAATTTCAACATCGAGTGTCCCGAAAACAAAAAAAAGTACACACCACCCGCGTTTTCGCAACACGACTGGCAAAACATACGTCCGCCCTCTGCGCAGTTTTTGCGGTAACCGTCGGTTTCCCAACGTGTTCATCACATGCTACCAAAACGTGCACCTCGCGCGCGTGTCGACACCGCTCAAAAACCGTTGTTTGCGCGCCCTCGCAAAACATTCGTTGAAAAACACGGGGCGAAGTGCACGCACGTTCGTTGTCGCGCGCGTGCACCGAAATCTTTCACCAGCCTTCGGTTTCGTACGACTTTCAACGTCGAGTGCCCCGAAACATACAACAACCACTTGGCTTTGCAACATCAGTTGTCAAAAAAAGGTCTGCGCCCACGCTCTTGCGAATTATTGTGGGCACTGCTTGTCCGCATTTCCATCAACTTCGATGTGGGCCACCCGCGCGCGTCGGCCGTGCGCGCACGTCGAAGTCTTTCCACAACCTTCATCACCGACGCGAGGACACCGTCATCGTCATCGGCGTGATCAGCTTCGGCGCCGTTATTGGCAGTGTTTGCAAACATAACGTGGTTTGGGAGGAGGCACCAGTTTTCACAAGTAGTGAGGAATGTCTATGTTTTTTTGCGTGCGCGCTCGAGGATGGCGCGTCTAGCACGCCGAATTCTCGAGGATGTTTCGGGCGAAACGTTGGTTTTGCAGAATTCGAGGGGCCTGGGCGCTAGAGGATGTCTAGGTGGTTCTGGGAGCGCGGGCGCCGCGTCATTTACGAGGGATCGTGGCCCTAGGGGTGCGGGCGTTGCGTAATTTACACAGGACCGCGGTCTCGGGGCGCAAGCCCAGTGTAATTTACTAGGGATCGCGGCCCTGGGAAAGCGGACGCCGTGTACTTGGGAGCGCAAATCCAGTGTAGTTTCGAAGGATCGGGGCCCTGGGAGCGCGGGCGCCGTGTAATCTACGAGGGGTCGCTGCGTTGGGGGCGCAAATCCAATGTAATTTACCAGGGGTGGTCGCCGCATATTTTAAGAGGGATCGTGGCCCTGGGAGTGCGGACGCCGCGCAATTTAGAAGGGATCGGCGCTTTGGGAACGCAAACCCAGAGCAACTTGCAAAGGGCCGTGGCCCTGGGAGTGCGGACTTCATGAATTTACGAGGGATCGTGGCCTTGGTAGCGCAAGTCCAGCGCAGTGGACGAGGGATCGCGGCCCTAGGAGCAAGGGTCTGAGGTGCGTCCGCTGGCGCATCATTGCGCGGTGCGGCACAATGCAGCGCACCACAACGCAGCCTCTGGCACGCTATCAACACCATCGATATCTTCGGCACTGCCAGTGCCCATCGCCAAATTGAGCTGCTCTGAAACGTTTCCATTTCTTGCGGGTCTAAATCCCTTTCCGGGTTCGTGGGTCGATCATTTTGTCGACGTCGCTTTGATATCGCGCCCGCCCAAGTCCCCGACTCGCACTGAAGGGCCCGATGTGAAGTGCCCAGCGGTCATCGCCACCGCGGCCGCGTCGGTCGCGCCAAGCTAGTTGGCCGCTGTGCGCGCGAGCATGCGCGGGCTAGCGCGACAGAGAACGCCAGCCAACACCAGACATTCATCGCAACCTCCGCCGCATGGGTTTTGCAAACCAAGTTGCGGGTGGGTGGGTGGGATGGTTGCGCGAGCAGTGGAGTTGTCAACTCAAAATTTTCAAAACAATTGCGCCACATAGATTGCACCACGTATATCGCACAACACGGATTGCTAGAATTACACTGTTTGGTGCCCACGCTGGCTTGCATGTCATGCTACTGTAATGCCACTGGCATTTGCCGTGCGTTTGCGATGCAGTTGCCATCCAGCACGGCGACAGCTGCTCTGGCCACCGTGCTCAGGCAGCACGCGCGCCCGAGGTGTGCTCGCGGAGTCTCGCCGGCGCTCCTCGTCGCCACGCTGTTGGGCTCCTTGTGCCGCCCGCTGTCGCTCTGCACCGCACGCAGCGCCTGTCGTACCGCACGCTCCCCGCCGCCGCTCTGTCGGCTGTTGCCCGCGCTCTTCGTCGCCGCTCTTTGTGCCGCCGCCGCTCCTCGTCGCCGCTGTGTGTGTTGCCAGGCGCTCCTCGTCGCCACCCCGAGTGTGGTCGGCGTTCCTCGTCGCCACGTTGCTGGTCCCTTCTAGCCGCCCGCTGCCGTTCAGCATCGCGTGCAGCGCCTGGCAGCCCGAGCGCCCCTCGTCGCCACACTCTGCTGGGTCGTCGTCTTGGGAGCGCGGGCGCAGCGTAGTTTACGAGTGACAGCAGCCCATGGAGAGCGGACGCAGCGTAATTTGCTAGAGATTGTGGCTTTGGGAGCGCGGTCCCGTCGTAATAGCTTCGTTCATGGGTCCGCCGTGTGTTGCCCGTTGCTGCTTCCGTGGTGTCTGGGGGGGGGAGGGCGGGGGGGAGGCAAGCCGTGTTCTTGTGAGCAGAAAGTGGGGTTTGCCTGGGAGCGCGGTCTCGTGCCACGTCCCATGGCAGGTTCCCTGACGCGTTCCCTGGCACGTCCTCCTCCTCCTCCTCCTCCTCCTCCTCCTCCTCGGACGTTCCGTGGCCCGTCCCGTGGCGAGTCCCCCTGGCACGTCCCGTGGCACGTTCATTGGCAAGTACCGTAGCGCATCCCCTTGGCACGTCCCGCGGTGCGTCCTCATGGTACGTCCCCTGGCACGTCCGCTGGCGCGTCCCTGGGGACGTTCCGCGGTGCGTCCCCCTGGCATGCCCCCCTGACATCGCCCGAGTGCACATGCACTTGAGGTCCGTAGAAACGGTTCCATGCCTCGCGGTTCTCAATCCCTTTCTGGGTTCGTGTGTCGATCATTTTTCCCATAAAGCATGGCAGATTTTGCCATACATCATGGAAGGACTTGCTATGCCGCGTGACAGTTCTTGCCATGCTGCGTGGCAATTTTTGCCATGCGGCATGCCAACTTTTGTCATGCAGCATGCCAGCTCTTGCCATGCAGCGTGGCAACTTTTGCCATGCGGCATGGCCTCTTTTTGTCATGCTGCATGACAACTAGTGCCATGCAGCATCGCAGCCTTTGCCATGCAGCATGGCAACTTATGACATGCACCAGTTGTTATTTGTTATCATGCGGCATGGGAGCGTTTGCCATGCAGAATGGCAGCTCTTGCCAAGCAGCATGGCAACTCGTGCCAATCTGCAGGGGAACTTTGTCGTACTTCATGGCAATCCTTGTCATGCAGCATGGTAGATTTTGACATGCACCATGGCAACTAATGCCATGCAGCATGGCAGTTGTTGCCATGCTGCATGACAACTTTTGCTATGCAGATTGGCAACGTTCGGCGTGAAGTACGGCAATTCTTGCGCCATGCATCATGGCAACACTTGCCATGCAGCGTGGCAACCTTTGCCATGCATCATGGCCAATTCTTGCCATGCTGCATGGCAACTATTGCCATGCAGCACAGCAACTTCTGCCGTACATCATGGAAGGAGCTGCCGTGCCGCATGCTAATTCTTGGCATACAGCACGGCAACATTTGCCATGCACCAAGGCAACTTTTGCTATGCGGCATGCTAGGCTCTTGCCATGCTGCATGGTGGCCACGCAGCGTGGCAACTTTTGCCATGCAGCATGGCAACTCTTGCCATGCAATGGTGTAGCTTTTGCCGTGCATCATGGCAATTGTTGCCATATTGCATGGCAACTTTTGCCATGCAGTATGGCAACTTCGGCCGCCATTCAAGCAGTTGCCATCCGACATGGCAAGAGTCGCCAAGCAGTCGCCATGCAGTTGCCATGCCGCATGACGATCGTGGGCTGCCTGAAAGGGTCAACCTCCTCATTGGTTTTTGGGGGCTCCAGAGGTCAGCCTCGTGTTCGGCCCTCCCTTCTCCCTCCCTCCGTCGCTCCCTCTTCCCCTCCCCCTTTCGACCCCCGCCCCTCCCTTTCGACCCTCGATCCTCGATCCTCCTGCCTCCCTCGATCTTTCCTCGGTTCCTCGGTTCCTCGATCCTCGATCCTACCGATCCTTTCGATCCTTCCCCCGGTTGTGCAGGCTCGTCGTCGGGCAGTTCCTCATGTCCGCCATCTCGCAGATCTGGACCGGGGCCGGCCGCAGGGCCTGCCTCCAGAAGGCGGGCCGACGACGGCGACGGCGGCGGCGGCGGCGACGACGACGTCGGCGACGACGGCGGCGGCGATGACGACGACGACGGCGGCTGCGGCGGCGGCGGCGGAGACGACGCGTCCCGCCCGCCCGACTGCCCACAAAGACGACGACGTGTCCAGCCCGTCTGCACGACCGATCGACTCGCCCGCCAACGACGACCACGACGTTGGCGGCGGCGTCGTCGTCTGCCGGCAGGGGAAGGGTAGGGGTTGTTATCATGGCCAGGGCCATGAAATCTCCCTGGATTTCATGGCCCCTTCTTCTTCATGCTGTTGTTGTTGTTGTTGTTGTTGTTGTTGTTGTTGTTGTTGTTGTTGTTGTTGTTGTTGTTTTTTCCCGGAAAGGGCTCCGGCCCAGGGTTCTCTTTTAGTTCCCGGAAAGGGCTCCGGCCCAGGGTTCTCTTTTAGTAGGTAAACTTGTCCCCCGGTGCCAACTTGAAGGAGGCCGGCGGATTTTTTCCCTGATAAATATCGAGGTCGAAGGAGGCCGGCGGATTAAAATTTGAGGAAGTCTCGAGCGAAACGCTTGTTTTTGAAATCCCGATCGATAAATCACAGGGTGCGGGCCACTTTTTCGTGCGTTGAGGATGTCTCGAGCGAAACGCTTGCTCCGCAGAGTTTGCCGAGGATGTCTCGAGCGAAACGCTTGTTTTGCAGAGCCGACCGCGACGCGGAAAAGCGCCCCGCGCGAAGGAATTTCGATGATGTCTCGACTAATTCGTTTGTTTTTGTACGATTTCCTGGAATTTTGGCAGGATGTCTCGAGCGAAATGCACGACCCCACCCTAGCACGACCATACCCCAGCACGACCACACCCCAGCACGACCAGACCCCAGCACGACCCCACCCCAGCACGACCCCACCCCAGCACGACCATACCCCAGCACGACCACACCCCAGCACGACCCGACCCCAGCACGACCCTACCCCAGCAAGACCACACCCCAGCACGACCACACCCCAGCACGACCTCACCACAGCACGACCACACCCCAGCACGACCACGCCCCAGCACGACCACGCCCCAGCACGACCACGCCCCAGCACGACCACGACCACACCCCAGCACGACCACCCCCCAGCACGACCACCCCCAGCACGACCACACCCCAGCACGACCACACCCCAGCACGACCACACCCCAGCACGACCACACCCCAGCACGACCACACCCCAGCACGACCCGATCGATAAATCACAGGGTGCGGAGCACCCCAGCACGAACCCACCCCAGCACGACCCCACCCCAGCACGACCCCACCCCAGCACGACCACGCCCCAGCATGACCACACCCCAGCACGACCACACCCCAGCACGACCACTCCCCAGCACGACCCCACCCCAGCACGACCCCACCCTAGCACGACCACACCCCAGCACGACCACACCCCAGCACGACCCCACCCCAGCACGATCACACCCCAGCACGACCCCACCCCAGCAAGACCACACCCCAGCACGACCGCACCCCAGCACGACCTTACCACAGCACGACCACACCCCAGCACGACCACGCCCCAGCACGACCACGCCCCAGCACGACCACGCCCCAGCACGACCACCACGCCCCAGCACGCACGACCACCCCCCCAGCACGACCACCCCCCAGCACGACCACCCCCCAGCACGACCACACCCCAGCACGACCACTCCCCAGCACGACCACACCGCCTTGGTTGAGTGGTTGCCTGTCGTCGTGGAATGTTTCGTGGGGTGTCTCGTGGAATGTTTCGCGGGGTGTCTCGTGAAATGTTTCGTGAGGTGTCTCGTGGAATGTTTCGTGAGGTGTCTCGTGGGCTGTTTCGTGAGGTGTCTCGTGGGATGTTTCGTGAGGTGTTGCCCAGTTGGGTATCATGAAAACGTGTCCATGCTCCACATGTCTATATCCCTTTCCGGGTTCGTGGGTCCATCATGTTCCCGGAAAGGGCGCAGGCCCAGGGTTCTCTTTTAGTATGTAAACAATGTCCCCGTGCCCAACTTGAAGGAGGCCGGCGGATTCTTTCCCTGATAAATATCGAGGTCGAAGGAGGCCGGCGGATTAAAATTTGAGGATGTCTCAGGCGAAACGCTTGTTTTTGAAATCCCGATTGATAAATCACAGGGTGCGGGACACCTCAGCACGACCACACCCCAGCACGACCACACCCCAGCACGACCACGCCCCAGCACGACCACGCCCCAGCACGACCACACCCCAGCACGACCACACCCCAGCACGACCACACCCCAGCACGACCCACCCCAGCACGACCCCACCCCAGCACGACCCCACCCTAGCAAGACCACACCCCAGCACGACCACACCCCAGCACGACCTCACCACAGCACGACCACACCCCAGCACGACCACGCCCCAGCACGACCACGCCCCAGCACGACCACGCCCCAGCACAACCACCCCCCAGCACGACCACCCCCCCAGCACGACCACACCCCAGCACGACCACCCCCAGCACGACCACACCCCAGCACGACCACTCCCCAGCACGACCACACCGCCTTGGTTGAGTGGTTGCCTGTCGTCGTGGAATGTTTCGTGGGGTGTCTCGTGGAATGTTTCGCGGGGTGTCTCGTGGAATGTTTCGTGAGGTGTCTCGCGGAATGTTTCGTGAGGTGTCTCGTGGGATGTTTCGTGAGGTGTCTCGTGGGATGTTTCGTGAGGTGTTGCCCCGTTGGGTATCGTGAAAACGTGCCCATGCTCCACATGTCTATATCCCTTTCCGGGTTCGTGGGTCCATCATGTGAACTCTCATTTCCGAAGAATAATTATTGTTGATCCCCCCTCACCGGTGCATGCTGTTTTTTCTCGACGAAAGTGTGCCTCTCGACGCTCGCACCTTGTTTTTTGACAGGGAAAGTCTTGATGCTCAAACTGCGCCCCTGGCCCCTGGGTTACAACAACAACGGCTCCCGCCTGAGACTTCTTCACAAATAAGCCAGGACCCCCGCTCCCGCCCGAGACTTCGTCGCATTTTATTCAGGAATCACGCTCTCGCTTGGGACTTCCTCACAGTTTATTAAGGAATCGCTCTCACGGCGCTCTGGAGTCGCGCTCTCGCTGGAGATTTGCTTGCAATTCACTGAAGAATAGCGCCCTTGCGTTGGAATTTCTTGCAATTTGCTCAAGCACCGCGCTCCCGACACCCAGGCACCCAGGAGTCGCGCCTGTTGTGGCCCCATGTGCATGCCCTTCGTGGCCCCGCTGTGGCCGTTTGTGGCCCCCTCACTGTCCTACGTGGCCCAGTTGCTAACCCTCAGTGGCCCCATCGTTGCCTTCTGTGGCCCCGCATTATCTGCCCTTCGTGGCCCCCGCTCGTTCGCGCTCTTCGTGGCCCCATACGCATTCCCTTCGTGTCCCCGCTGTCGCCCTTCGTGGCCTACTTCGTGTCCTTCGTGGCCCTGCTATCGTTCTCTCTCGCTCTCGCTTTCGTTCGTCGTCGCTGTCGTCGTCGCCGTCGCCGTCGTCGTCGTCGTCGTCGTCGTCGTCGTCGTCGTGGTTGGTCCCCTGTCCGTCCCTCTTGGGGTCGGTCGACGGTCCGCGGCCGCCCCGCCGATCAGCGCTGCCGCTGGCCAGGCCGACGGTCTGCGGCCGCACCACCGCTTGCCGGGGCCCGGCCTGCAGGGAAGAAAGGTATACCCCCGAAAAGGGGTTCGATCGAAGACGAAGAGGGCGGGTATCGAGGGTTTGGGAAATACGCGTTATTGGACACTCGAGCAGATAGGGGGGAACAGTCTCAACATGACTGTTGTTGTTGTTGTTGTTGTTGTTGTTGTTGTTGTTGTTGTTGTTGTTGTTGTTGTTGTTCGCGAGGATACTACTGGAGGCCCGTTGCTCGACCCCCCCCCGAGCAACGCCACGGGGCCACGTACGGGCCCCGCAGGGCTCCTGGTCAGCAACGCCACGAGGCCTCGCCAGGCCGCTGCAGGGGTCTGCAGGGCCCGGCGGCGTTGCTCGGAAGGTCCTTTCGGGGCTGCTGCGGAGTTCCAGACAGGCCCCAAAGGGCGCACCCCTCTCACGGATCGTGGCCCTGGCCCCACAGGGAGAGCTCCACCGAGGCTTGATTTCGGCGCACCCCTCTCGAGGATCGTGGCTCAGGGAGCTCCACCGAAACTTGATTTCGGCGTACCCCTCTTACGGATCGTGGCTCTGGCCCCACAGGGAGCTCCACCGAGGCTTCATTTCGGTACACCCCTCTCGAGGATCGTGGCCCTGGCCCCACAGGGAGCTCCACCGAAGTTTGATTTCAGCGCACCCCTCTCATGTGGCGCGTTCCTTGCCACGTCCCCTGACACGTCCCCCTGGCGCATCCCCTAGCGCGCCCCTGCCACATTCCGTGGCGCGTCCATGCGCCCTACGCCACGTGTCGCCTCGTCCCGCTTCGGAACTGAATCGGATTTTGAGCTCGAGCTGATTTAGCGTCCCACACGTTTCGATTGCAACCAGCTCTGGGCAGGCATCACGAGCTGAAGATCCGGATCAGTTCGGTCAGGATTCGGATTCCAAGGGCGACTCGACCCACAATACTACAGAGCACAACGCAATTCATGGTGGCATGTCACATCTCATTTCAGCACGGCGCATACCTTCAGCATTACCGCACACATCGTGCGGCGCGTCCCCTGGCACGTCCACAGGCACGTTCCGTGGCGTGTCCCCTGGTACGTCATTGTGCGGCGCAGTGCAGTGCAGAGCAGCACAACACAGCCCCTGGCACAGTATCATCAGCATCGATATCTTTTGCTTGCCACTACCTATCGCCCATCGCCCAGTGTAATTGATTCGCAAGGGATCGTGACCCTCGGGCACGTTCCCTGGCACTTTCTCTGGCGCCTCTCCTGGGCACGTCGCGCGGCACGTCCCCTGGCACGTCCCCTGGCATGTTCCGTTGCGCGTCCCCCTGGCACGTTCCGTGGCGCGTCCCGTGGCGCGTCCCCCTGGCACATCGCGCGGCGCGTCCCCTGGCACGTCCTCTGGCACGTTCCGTAGCACGTCCCCTGGCACATCACTGTGCGCGGCGCAGCGCAGAGAATCACAACACACCTCTATGGCACAGTATCATCACCATCGATGTCTTCAGTATTGCCACTGCCCATCGTCCAACTGAGGTGCTCGGAACGTTCCAGGCCTCGCAGTTCTAAATCCCTTCCCGGGGCCGAAATCGAGGAAAAGCGGCCTGATTGCAAACCTCACGTCGTCGGATATCGAAAAAGGAGGACGGCGAGCAGCAGCAGGTCCGAGGAGCCCGTGCCCGAGCTGCCCGAAGGTCTGGTTCGACAGCATGCAGATGTGCGACATCCTGGCCTCACTCGGCCTGGACTTCGGCGGCGGGGCCTCCTGCAACGCGGCCGCGGTGCTGCGCATCCTGTGGAAGGTGCGCGCGCTGGCTCGCTCGTTGCGCCTCCTCCTCCTCGGAAGAGGAACGGGTACGGCAGGTGCTCGCCGCGTCGACGCGGCGGCGACCCCGCCGCGGGCGGTCAAGCTTGATCGCCGCCAGTGGCCCAGAATCGACCATCATGGAACGAGAGGGCGATCGAAAAGCCGCAAATCGTTCAAGGTTGAACGATCCGCGCCGTGTTGAAAACCAACGCTGAGGTCGTCAGCCGTCATCACAGGATCCTGGCATGCCGATGCCGCTGCTCGTCCTGAGTAGATGGGGTCCGAGTAGATGGGGTTGGAGAATCGCGCCGCATCGTTGATACGTCGTCGATGCGGCTTGATGTGGAGCTCGATTTTTCTCCACGCCGACGTCTCCAATGCATCGGCGATGCGGCGCGATCCTCCAACCTCACCTAGTCGAATATCATAAGGGAGGACAGGAAAAGGTTATTACCGATACGGCTGCTCGTTCTGACCTCCGTGCTTCGTGAACGAATGCGCGAGGGTCTTCTTTCCCTGAAAGGGCTGGGGCCCAGGGTTCTCTTTTAGATGGTACACCTGTCCTGCTTGTGCCAAGTTCGACGAGGGCCGGCAGATTCCCGCTCGATGACAACGAATTCATGCCCCTTTTGGTTTTCCGAAAGTGCGCCTCGCGCGTGCCCGCTCGAGGACAGTGCGCCACCATCACCGATCCTCGTTGCCTAACGGGGTCCGCAGACCACCACTTTCCTTCGTAAAGCACAGGGTGCGGAGTGTTTTGAGGAGGAATCCCGACAGAAGATGCCCGAGCTTTTGACTTTTTGCGTGCCCGCTCGAGGACGGCGCGCCCGGCACGCGGGGTTCTCGAGGACGTCTCGAGACCCGTTTTTTTTTCGTAGAAATCATGTTGACTTTTGGCGTGCCCGCTCGAGGACTGCGCGCCCTGCGTGTTGAATATCTGTGGATGTCTCGAGCGAACCGTTTGTTTTGCAGCGCTTGAAAGGCCTGGGCGCCCCAGGATGTCGAGGTCGCTCTTGGAATTCGGTCGGACCGTTGTTTGCCAGGGATCGTGGCCCTGGGAGCGTGAAGACACGTGGGTTCCACACGCCACATAGCGGAACAAGCGTGACAACGGAGCGGGACAGGCGTGAACACGCGTGCGTTCCCACCGCTTCCGAGCGGGACACGCGTGAAAGCTGGGTTCCTGACGCCCCAGGGCGGGGCAAGCGCGAACAAACATTGGTTCCTAACGCCCCAGAGCGGGGCAAGCATGAAAGACGCGTGGGTTCCTAACGCCCTTCAGCGGAACAAGCGTGACAACACGTGGGCCCAGAGCGGGGCAGGCGTGAAAACACATGGGCTCCTAACACCCCAGAGCGCGATACGCCTGACAACACGTGGATTTTTAACGCCCCAGAGCGGGATCAGCGTGAACATACTTGGGTTCCTAACGAGCCAGAGCGGGACAAGCGTCAAAACACATGTGCTGCTAACGCCCCAGAGCTGGACAAGCGTGAAAACACGTGGGTTCCCAACGCCCGAGAGCAGGACAAGCGTGACAACACGTGGGTCCAGCGCGGTGCAAGCGTGAAGCCTCGTGGGCTCCCAACGCACCAGGGCGGGACAAGCGTGACAACACGTGGGTTCCTGGCGCCCCAGAGTGGGACAAGCGTGAACAAACGTGGGTTCCTAACGCCCCAGAGCGGGACAAGCGTGACAACACGTGGGCTCCTAACGCCCCAGAGCGGGACGAGCTTGAAGACACGTGGATTCTTAACGCCCCAGAGTGGGACAAAAGTGAAATCACGTGAGTTCATGATGACTCAGAGCAGGACAAGCGTGACGCCCCAGGGCGGGACAAGCGTGAAAACACATGTATTCCTACCGCCTTTAAGCGGGACAGCGTGACAAGACGTGGGTTCCTAAAGCCCCAGAGTTGGACAAGTGTGAAAACACTAGGGTTCCTAACGCCCCGGAACGGGGCGAGCGTGAAAACATATGGTTCCTATCGCCCCAGAGCGGGACGAGCTTGAAAACACGTGGGTTCCTAACGCCCAATAGCGGGACAAGCGTGAGAACACTAGGATTCTTGACGCCCCCAAGTGGGACAAGCAGGAAAACGCGTGGATTCCTAACGCCCCAGAGCGGGACAAGTGTGAAAACACGTGGGTTCCAAACGCTCCAAAGCGGCACAAGCGTATCAACACGTGGGTTTCCAACGCCCCAGACAGGGGACACGCGTGACAATACGTGGGTTCCTAACGTCCCAGAGTGGGGCAAGCGTGAAACCTAGTGGGTTCGTAACGCCCCAGCGCTGGACAAACGTAAAATCACGAGGGTTCCGAACGCCCCAGAATGGCACAAGAGTGACAACACGTGGGTTCCCAACGCCCCAGATCTGGACATGCGTGAATTCTAGTGGGTTCCTAACGTCCTTCAGCGGGATAAGAGTGAAAACACGTGGGTTCCTCACGCCCGCGAGCGGAACAAGCCTGACAACACGTGGGTTCCAGACGCCCCAGAGCGGGACACGCGTGACAACATATGGGTTCCTAACGCGCCAGAGCGGGACAAGCGTGAAAACGCGTGCGTTCCTAAGGGCCCAGAGCGGGACAAGCGTGACAACACGTGGGTTCCTGATGCGCTTCAGCGGGACAATCGTGAAAACACGTGGATTCCTAAGGGCCTAGGGCGGGACACGCGTGACAACAAGTGGGTTCCTAACGCCCCAGAAGGGGACAAACGTACCGTAGGTTCGCGTCGTGTCGACGGGCGGCGACTCCGCCGCCGGCGTTCAACTTTGAATGCCGCCGGCGACCCAGACTCGGTCGATGTTGACCGAGCTGACGTTTCGGAGACGCCCGATCGTTCAAGTTTGAACGATCCCCGCGGTGTCAGAAACCAACGCCGGGGCCGACACGACACGAACCTGCCGTACACATGTTTTCTAACGCCCCAGAGCGGAGCAAGCGTGCAACTTCGTAGGTTCCTAGCACCCCAGAGCGGGACAAGCGCGAACACACTTGAGTTAAGTCGGGCGTGTTAAGTTGAGTTAAGTTGGGGACGATTTTTTTATTATTTTTGGACCATTTTGATCTAACACTGGCACATCCCGTGGCGCGTCCATGCGCCCGGCGCCCCGTTTCGTCTCGTTCCGTGGCGCGCCCCTTGGCACGTCACTGTGCGGCGCGGCACAGCTCAATGAAACAGTAGCATCACCATTGATATCTTTGCTACTGCTCATCGCCCAACTGAGGTGCTTGGAACGTTCTCAGGCCTCGCAGTTGCACATCCCTTTCCGGGTTCGTGGGTCGATCAGGTTCGTCCGGAAAGGGCTCGGGCCCGGGATTTTCTTCTAGTGTGTGAACCTATCCTCCGCTGCCATGCTTGAAGAGGGCTGGCGAATTTCGCTCGAAACAAAAGCTAGGTAAAGCTTCATCTTGGGTGGAAGAAGGGCGTTTTGCACGTGCCCGCTTGAGGAACGTGCGCCCCCCATCTCAGGTCCTCATTGCCTAACTTGGTCCGCAGACCCTGGTATTTCTTTATAAAAGAAAGATGCGGAGCGTTTTGCGCAGAATCGTAACTAAATCATAAGGTCTGGAGACCGTATAATTTTACAGAAGATGTGCGAATGTTGCGTGTCCGCTCGATGATGGCGCTCCTGCGCGCAGGTTTCTCGAGGATGGCTCGGGCCCCGCGCTTGTTTTGCAGAGCTTGAAGGGCCTGGGCGCCTCAGGATGCCCAAGTGGTTCTGGGAGTGCGGTCGCACCGATCTTTACGCGGGATCGTGGCCCTGGGAGCGCGGACGCTACATAATTTACATGGGATCCTGGCGCAGGAAGCGCGGACGCATCGTGATTTATGAGGGATCATGGCGCAGGGAGGGGCAGTACGTTGCCTGGGCAGCGGCCCATCGGCTCGTGCTGGCGAAGGTACAGGCCGATCAGCAGGCTCACAGCCCACAGAGGCCCACCTCTGAGTCTTGCACGGCCAGTGTCACTGGTCATGACCTTGTGTGGATCCTGTCGATAAAGCAAGTTCAGATGCAGGCCCTGTGAGATGAGCGCGAGGGCGGTCGGGTCCTACGAACACATGTTTGCCACCCGGGCCAGGCATTGCGGCCCGAGCGAATCTCGAAGCTGTGCCGCCGAGCTGGAGTGTGCGACGCCGTCGCTGCTCCGCACGAGAAGTCGTATCTGTCCACGCTCAGCACGTTTTTGCTCCCTGATGGGACAGAGGCGCCGGTGCCTCCGCCGCCTCCCCCCCCCACCCGAGGTTGCTCCTGTGTCGGACCTCTTTGGGCGTCTGGGGCACGACATCGCCTGTCGTGGGGAGGCCCTTTGCTGCAGGCTTTGTGGTGCATGCCAGATCGCGGGCGGTCATGCGAAGAACTTCCGCGCACAGTGCAAGGGGGTGCCCAAGTCAGCCAGGTCCCAAGCGGGGGCCCGACCTCGTGTAAAATTGACGCTTGCTGGCAAGCACCCAGTCACTGGGGTGCCTCTTTAAGAAGGCACGGCCTTCCTTGTCTCGCCTCAGTCGAAGGTGAACGGCACCTTGACGAGGCTGTTGCTGCTGCTGCGTGGTTGATTCAGCCGCGCTGCGATAGGAGCAGAGGGGGGCGGACACAACACTGCAATTTATGAGGGATCCTGGCCCGGACGTGCGGGCGCATCGTTATTTACAAAGGATTGCGGCTTTAGGGGGCTGATGGATGCCGTGGAATTCGCGAAGGATCGTGGCCCCAGGAGCGCGGAGGCCGTGTAATGTACTCAGGATCGTGTCCTTAGGGGAGCGGGCGCCGCATAATTCACGAGGGATCGTGGCCCTGCGAGTGCGGGCATAGCGACATTTGTAAGGGCTCGTTGCCCTTCGAGCGCGCAAGCACCGCTATTTACGATGGATCGTGGCCCTGGGAGAGCTCGGCGCAGTACAGTTTACGAGGGATCGCGGTTCAGGGAGCGTGACTCCAGTGTACTTTAAAAGTATCATTGCCATGTGAGCGCGAAGCCAGCATAA